GAAGGAAGGAAGGAAGGAAGGAAGGAAGGAAGGAAGGAAGGAAGGAATTCTGAATGTGTTAATGTCAAGTGAGGCTCCATTCAAAATCCAAGGAAGAAAACCTTAAGACTCCATTGTTACAGAGAAAAGGACTTTTACTGGGAATTAAAGTGGTAGCATCAAAAGAATTCAAGATCTGAGGCATTAGGCGTGAAAATCAAAGTACTTTGTTGCCATCTGGTAAGATATCAGTCAGAAAAAAAACAGTATGGGAGCTGCTCAGATGATGAACAGAATATGAAGGCAAAAGCCTCTTGAAGATGATCTGAATATGGTTGGTAGTAGATTGGTTGTATATTTATGTAAGTTGTGCTGCATGCTGTACAGATTACTTAGCAAGTGAGAAATGTTGGTATACGAAAGAAGGAAGAGCAGGCAGCTAGCCAGCCATCCGTTAAGGTATCTAGGTCACAAACCAGAAATAAACAAATGCATATAAAAATCAAACAAGCAGGCAGGATACATCCCAATGGCCTTATTTGAGTCAATACCCAGCAATTCCAGTTGCTGAATGTTTTTTTTTTCAAAGACACGGTTCTTGTTACACTAATCATTAGTTAACCTGGAGTTCACATAGGGTTGGGTAGCTCCTGATTAAGATTTCTAGAAGATTTCAGACACTTCTCAGTCTGGATTCTAACCTGGCCGCAGGCAGTCTTGGGAACTGAAGATTTAGGGCAAGTTTGTGTGGTTAGGCACACCCAGATTTTAACAACTTTAGTGTTTTATAGAGAATGATCAGCATTTTAAATTATTCTCGAAGGATTGAGAGTTGGTGACATTGAGACCCCTGTAATGCCACATGGAGTACTCTTTTTAAAAAACTGAAATACATAATCCATCACCCACTTGGTGGACTTGCGATGCAGTAAGTGAACTATGGGATTAGATGTGGTAGCAATGCTTCGTGGAGATGAAACTAAAGGAATCTCTTTAGTTCTTAGCCAGGATGATTTGCAAGAAAGTATAGGATCCACAAAAAGAAATGTATACCTAATTTTGTAGCCAGATCAGTTCCTAGATTTCTCACTTCGTTCAGCCATGCCAGTTGCAATCCCTTAGCAAAGGGTTGAGCTTATTCGTGGTATCCTGTTTCGTTGCAGAGTGAAGATTCAGATGAAGATGAGCCTTGTGCTATCAGTGGAAAGTGGATGTTCCAGCGAGAGAGCAAGAGGTGGTCCAGACTGGAAGAATTTAACATTTTCCCTCCGAAGTTTGATATGAATTCTACATCCCCGGAAGTGGCTCATCTTAGCAGTGCGACCAGTCATGAGAGCATGCTGATGGAGCAGAGCGAACATCAGGAGGTAGCTTCCATCCACAGCATGAGCAGCAACAACAGCCAGCCAACTACCTCCCAGAGCGATGCAGTCGCCACCAGGACCAACTCGGTCATTAGCATCACCTCTTCGGGAAAGCTCGCGGCCAACGAGGGAATCCTGGCCCCCACCAGAGAGTTGTCGAGTTTCGGTTGCGGTGTGAAAGCCAACGAGAAGAACACCAAATCCAAAACCAGGAGCTTGTTGAAGAGGATGGAAAGCCTGAAGATCAAAGGCTCTCCTCACGGGAAAAGTAAAGCTCCTTCCAAGCTTGGCCTGATAATCAGCGGTCCGATTCTGCAAGAAGGCATGGGCGAAGAGAAACTGAAGCAACTTAACTGCGTGGAGATCTCCACCCTCAACGGCAATCACATCAATCTCCCGATGGTTCGCAAGAGAAGTGTTTCCAACTCCACGCAGACCAGCAGTAGCAGCAGCCAGTCAGAAACAAGCAGTGCCGTGAGCACGCCCAGCCCCATCACTAGGACGCGCAGCCTCGGCGCCTACAACAAGCGTGTGGGGATGTACCTGGAAGGCTTTGATCCTTTCAACCAGTCGACATTTAATGATGTCATGGAACAGAACTTTAAAAACAGGGAGAGCTTTGCCGAAGATGCAGTCTTTTTCATCCCCGAAGACCACAAACCCGGAACGTTTCCCAAAGCCCTCTCCAACGGTAATTTTGCTCCACCAAAGAGCAGTTCGGTGAACTGGAGAACGGGAAGCTTCCATGGACACGGACACCTTTCTCTCCGGCGCGAGAACAGTTCCGACAGCTCCAAGGATATGAGCCTAGGACGGAGGCGCAACTCCTCCAGCTCGGTGTGCAGCCGGCTCAGCATTTATGACAACGTGCCAGGTTCCATATTGTATTCGAGCACAGGAAATCTGGCGGATCTGGAGAACGAGGACCTCTTTCCTGAGCTCGACGACATCCTGTATCACGTCAAAGGCATGCAGAAAATTGTGAACCAGTGGTCAGAGAAGTTTTCCGATGAAGGGGACTCCGATTCGGCTCTGGATTCCATTTCTCCATGCCCTTCATCTCCCAAGCAAATCCTGCTGGATGTGGACAATGATAGGACCGTGCCCAGTGATCTAGACAGCACGGGAAATTCATTGAACGAAACAGAGGAGGCTGTAGGAATCCAGGAGAGAAGGGATTCTGGGGTGGGGGCATCACTGACCCGCTCCAACAGGTCAGTGGACAGAGATTTTAGCCCAAGAAGAGTAACAAATATGAGAGTGAAATGCATGTTCATTTATATGCGCGTAAATATTTTTTCATATTCAACTTTGTTAATCAAAGGTGGGAAGTCATGTTGTTTTTATGCCAGAAGGTAGAAAATTTCAAAGTCAAAGAATCAACTAGTGTAGCCGGTCATCCATAATGGCTCAAGTTTGCTTGAAGGAAACTTCAGGACTTTATGAAATGAAAAGTAAATTTAAAATAAATGATTAAATAAACAGATGAGGCCGGGAAAAGAGTAATTTGAAACAATGCAGGGAAATCTGCTTGTCCATCCTCCTTCTTTCTTCTTGTGGGAGATGTCTTCCAAACATAATCTTAAAACATGCAGTGATTGGAGGCATCAAGAAAAGTTTTCAGTCTTAACGTTCTCCAAATAGAAGATAAATACTGCAGGCAAATTCTTGAAAAGCAACAGATTGATGCAGCCCGCAGCCATCTACTGGGTTGGAAATGATTCACATCAGAATATTGTTGGCTTGATAAAGGACAGTGCAATATATTCTTACATTACAATTGTCATGTTTTGATTTTTCTAAAATATTCAGACTAGTTGTTTTTCTAGGCAACAAGATTTTTGTACTTGGCAATTACGTTGCAGAAGCTATATAGAAATTAATTGCCTTTCCTTTTGGTAGAACATAACTTATATGCTATAGAAAGAGATGAGCAGATATTACGGTAGGAGTGACACAAAGTAATTCTTAATTGCCTTCCTTAGAATAAGAAAAGTTAAATTATCCAGGTGTAGTGGTGTAGCTGGCTAATATTGCTGATTATGTTACCACTGAATGCCAAATTATCTTTTTCCTGTTTTGTTCTGTGTCATGGATTATCTGAGAAACACTGAACACAAAGAGACCTAAGTTATGACAGGTTGTTCTCATGTTTATTGGATGTTAGAGTGTTTAGATAGCTCTTCCTCCACTATGTCATTTTATTACAAAATCTTTTGAGAAATTTTTGATCCAGATTCATGAATTCTTTGTTCAGATGTTTGTGTTCAGGCAAACAATCCAATTTAAATTTTCTACATTTGGTTTATCAACGTTCATACTTTCAATGGGGTCAGTGCAGATAAAATTCTTCCAGTATAAACAGTGTCAAAGTACAGTAAATATTCAAACATTTGACAATTCAAACAAACTCTAGTACCATACATTCTGCACAAATAGATAAAAAAATATCATAGAAATCTGAGATTCTGAAGCAAGATTGTTTAATAATTCCTGTAGGCAAATCTATACAGGTAGTCCTTGACGTACGATCACAATTGAACCCAAAATTTCTTAAGTGAGAAATTGGTTAAGTGAGTTTTGCCCGATTTTACAACCTGAACGGTCACTAAAGTGATCTGTTGTAAGTCTAGGACTAGCTGTTTTGGGAGACAATTCAAAATCACTCCGTTGCTTCGGCTTTCCGTTTGTTTTAAAACCCATCTACGTTATTCAAAATCATTCACTGTTGTTTCTTTCTTTTGGAAAGACACAGAATGAGGTGGCATAGCTTCCAGAGTTCCCATCGGCCCAGCTTAAGTTCAGTTGCCTTACAGATCGACTGTCAATCCGTTGCACAGATGAACTTGCTGCAGAAGTATTCCCTTCTGAAACTAACTGCACTCTTGGAGAAATACACGCCTTCCAACAAGCATGGTTTCAACTGGTAAGGAAATGTGTGCATCTCTAGCAAGCCTGTGACTAGTCAGAGCCTACAAGTAATAGGACCTACCGTTAATTCTTGAGTCTTGATTCCTATCCAACCCAGCTGGGTTTTTTTTTTTTTTTAAGGGGGAAGTGCATTGGCTCTGAAGGATAAGTATTGTTTTTTTAAATATCTGTTGTGGTTCACCGACAGCCAGTGCAGATAGCAGCGGACAGTGGGGAAGAATGAGGACCAGTCTGGAGAGGACTCAAACAAGGGTCCTGCGTCCGACGCAGAAATGGGGCCAGGACCATCTGGGAGTCGGGTGCTGCTGCTGGAGGCTCTGGAGTAGCGAGGCAGAGGAGGGGGGAGACTGTTCCCAGTGCGCGCGTTCACAAAGCTGCCGAAGGCAAGAGCAGCTGAGACAAAAGGGGCAACTCGGGAGTAAGGCTGGGAGATGATTGCCCCTCCCATAAGATATAAAGGAGGTGCAAAGGTAGAGAAACCTTTGCAGGAAGCAAAGTCGTTCACTCTGTTCGGATTGAACCTTGAAGCTCTGTGTGGACGTTGTACTTGGTTTGGTTTTTTTACAGTTAATTTGACCGTTTAGTTGTTGGCAGCAGTCCAAATGAGATAAAGGTGGGTGCTTATCTCGAGGGACTGTTTGGGACTCATTACGGGCTGGGAATGAACGTAATTCCCAGCACTGAAATAAAACAAGAGCTGATTGGACTAAGCGTATACTTAATGACGGTCCCAGGAAGCCTTGGTCAGAACAATATCTAAAGCAGGGTTGTCGATCTCCCAGTCCATGGGCCAGATGCATCACATGCTGGCCACGCCCATGCCCAGTTGAGCGAACGGGGGAAAAGTCCTGATACGTCACATGATGCCGCCAAGATGACGTGAGTTTGACATTCCTGATCTAAAGGGAAGAATTTCACCACAGTGGTTAATAAATCCCTCTGTATCCTATTGAAACTTCAACTTGCTGATAAATGCATGATCGTTACCTTAAAACAGGCATCGACATGCTGACGCTCTCTAGATATTTTATTTACCATTCCCAAGACTTTTATCGAAGGCCATGAAAATTGGATAAAATCCAGAACATTTGACAGACACTACCTGGCCTGAGATTAGAATATCCAAACATTTATATCCATTGGCTAAATAGTACACTCCAGATCGAAAATGTTTGTTTTTTAAAAAAATCATAATTTCCATTTGTAGCACCCAAAAAAGTACAACGCATTTTTGCAGGAGGCTATCAAATTTAATCACTGCTTCAACATCTGGCTGACCCCTTCTCCTCCCCTCCCCTGCTTTTGTCTAGGACGGAGTATTTTTAAGTCCCTCATCAAAGCTCTTCCTATTCCAACGCTGTGATTATGGGAACCTGTGCTAAATTCAGAAGTTGTTTGTCCTGAAGGACTGAAATAAGCGCAGAGCAGTTTGCATGCTTTAGATTCTCAGTGGGCGTCATAACATGTGTCCGTTTTCATTTTCCGTTGCATTCCATCCCCGTGTATTTTAACAAAATGAAAGCGACGCACAGGCTTTCATATCAATAACACTCTTTCAGAACTGTGGAAAATATAAACGAGGCGGGGTTGCTCGCCTGTGAACGAGAGTCATTCATAGAGCTAAAAATAATCCCGCCATTGAGCTCGACTTTCTTTGGCGTTTGACATTCCCAGGTCTGCCGTGTTGCGAAAGCTTTTTGGTTGCTCTCCACTAAAAATTCTTAAAATGATTTTAAGTAAAATAGCAGCACTCTGATATATCAGAAGGTTGAAAGAGAATGGAAAGGCCTTTTTACCCAAGTGGGTGCGAAGAGGTGGTTGGAAAGGAAGAGGTTTTTTGGGGTGGAGTGTGGGGCAGTCAGCGGGGGCTGTGTCTGAAAAGACCATTTGTCGAAATGTAGTTGATTTCTGGCAAACACCCATGTATTACATCAATTTCCTTCTGTGACACAAGCTGGTGGGTGGCAGAACATGTTTGAGAGCTTTCTAAAGCAAACCATTTAGTACACAAAAAGTCCATTGTTCACGTGTCCATCTTCCCTCAAGAGTCCTAAACAAGGAAGATTATAAAGGGTCATTGACTGCTAGATCTCTATTTGATTCTTATTTGTCTTGTCACGGCCACCCTCATTTTCTCCTCTACCTATTGACCCGGCAGATTAACTAAGCAATTACTACTACTATATTCATTGATTTATTCTCTGCTAAGCTCTTAAGACTTTTGGTTTTTTTTTTTTTTGAATGCGAGCAGCAAATTTGTTCAGGTGTGGCCCCAAAATTCAAATTGGATTTCGCTTTTTGCTTTTTTTTTTTTTTAAAAAAGAAGTCTGTACTGATATTGGCATATTGGAGGGAAATGATTTCCTAACTGAATGGGTGGGTTTCAAAGAAAAGACACTCAACTCGTGGAAAACACGACAGCTTTCATTCAAACGGTGATGATGCAAAGGAAGAGTATATTTGCTTGCTTTTCAAGGCTCGGCTGCTGATTTTTAAGAAAGAAAAAAACAAATGAAGAAAGTGCCGACTCCCAGTTGTTGCAAAGTTACTTTTGCCCTTTGTGGCTAAGAACTGGAATATTCTGGAAATGCAGATCCAAAAAAAATCCTTGTTGCAAATACAGGTAGTCCTCGAACTTACGACCACAGTTGAGCCCAGCATTTATGTTGCCAAGTGAGAAATTTGTTAAGTGAGTTTTGCCCGATTTAATTGCTTTTCCTGCCCCTGTTAAGTTAATTACTGCAGTTGTTAACTTAGTAACCCAGTTGCTAATCTGTCTTCCCTACTGACTTACCTTGTCAGAAAGCCACCAAAGGTGATCATGTGACTGTCATAAATATGAACCAGTTGTCAATGTTAAATCACATGACCACGGGGACCTTGCCATGGTCAAAAAGCGTGAAAAACGTTCATAAGTCATTTTCAGTGCCTTCAACTTCAATTTAGTAACTTTCAAACAGTCACTAAATGAACTGTTGTAAATCAAGGACTACCTGTCATAATAATTTCTACCTCCGCCTGTTCTGGCCCTTCATCAAACGTAATGAAACACAAACTTGTTTTAAAAGCAAAACCTATTTTATTGCAATGCTGGGAATTACTTTTGTTCCCAGCCAGAATTAATTATAAACAGTTCCCCAAGATAAGCACACGCCTTTCAGTGCTGTGGAATGTTGCCAAAAACAGAAGTATCCAATTATAACAGAAACCAACCGAAGTACTAGAGAAAACCAACCAGAGCTTCAAGGAGGACTCGGAATCTATCGAACTGCTTTGCTTCCCGCAAAGGTTTTGTCATTGAGGTCTGACTTTTATCCCTTATGGGAAGGGCAATCACCTCCCAGCCTTACTCTCGAGTCGCCCCTTCTGCTTCAGCTGCTCTTGCCTTCTAGCAGCTCTGCGGACATGCATACTGGGAACAGGCTCCCCTGGATCCTCTACTTCACTGCTGCCAGACTCCAGAGGCTCCAGAGTCAGCACCCCACTCCCAGATGGTCCTGGCCCCACCTCTGCATTGGATGCAGGACCCTCATCCAAGTCCTCTCCAGACTCCCTGACCGGTTCCCTTTCTTCCTCAATGTTTGATACCGCTGCCGTCTGCACCGTCTGCCAGCGAACCACAATACAGTCTTAGACTGTGAATCTAACTATAGATTGCATGATGATGATGATGATAGAAGACTTCGAAGTAATACCTAAAGGACTCCCACTGTATTTGAAAATACTGCATTTATGAGACCCAATGACTGTATCCTAATTTTAAACAAAACCATCACGTCTGGGACTGCCTCTATTCTTAGATACTGGTTTGAATTATTAAGTTTTCCTCAGTCTTACCTGTTAATCTAAATCAGGGGTCCCCAAACCTGCCAACTTTTAAGACTTGTGGACTTCAACTCCCAGAATTCTCCAGCATAGCTGGCTGGAAAATTCGGGGACTTGAAGTTCACAAGTTTTAAAGTTGCCAGGTTTGGAGACCCCTGTTCTAAATGTAGATTATCCACACAATATAAGATAATCATAACAACAGCACTGATTAAAATACAGATAGTCCTCGACTTACGACCACAATTAATCCCCAAATTTTAGTTGCCAAGTGAGACATGGGTCAAGTGAATTTTGCCCCATTTTTACAATCTTTCTCGCCACAGTTGTTAAGTGAATCACTGCAGGTTTTTTAATGAGTAACATGGTTGTTCGTAACATGACTTTCCCATTGATGTCGGTCGTCAGAAGGTCACAAAAGGGGATCACCGAGGGCTCTGGAAAGGTCATAAATGTGAGTCAACTCCCAGGCATCTTCCTTTTGATCACGTGACCATGGAGATGCTGCAACGGTCATAAGTGGGGGAAAACAGGCATAAGTCATTTTTTCGGTGCCATTGTAACATTCAGTGGTCACTAAATGAACTGTTGTAAGTCAAGGACTACCTGCAAAGAAAAAGGAATTATTTCAACCATGCTTGAAAAAAACATTTAAAAACTGTTCATGGCTCTTCTCCCTAATATTACTTATTTTTTAAGGGTTTTTTTCTTTCACCCATGTCTTTTTCTTAACATCGCAGAATTATTGCAAATTTCAGTGCCTTAATCGGGTTTTCTGTGCTGCTATTTTCAGTCACGAGAAATGTTTTCTGGCGTATTTTTTTAAGCTCCCTGCCAAAGAGTTGGAATCATACGGGCCAGTGGTGGGATTCAAAGATTTTCACCACCGGTTCGGTGGGTGTGGTTTGGTGTGGGCGCGCTTTGCATGCATTGCACACCATTTGCATGTGCGCCCAATGCGCGCCTTGTGCAGGCGCAGAGGGGTTCCAAGTCACCTCCTGCAAGCCTGCACTCTCCCAGTCGCTTCAGCAGCTGCCGCGCAGCACTCTGCTGTGCCGCGCAAAGTAGCTGCGCTTCAAAAGTGGGAAATAAAAGTGAGTATGGGAGCCCAGGCGGGTGGGCCCAATAGCAGAGCGGTGGAGAGAGCCAGTCTGGTCTCCACTGCTCATCGGCATTACCAGCTCGGCAGAACCGAGCTGAACCGATAGAATACCATCACCGAGAGGGGCCGTATTTGAGAGACGCAACACAGATGGCTATTAAAGACACAACGTTGTTTACGAGATTATTTCTGATCTTCCTCAGGGCTGTGCCAAAATTTATGAAAAGGATAAAAGTCCCAGATTATAAAGATCGAAATGTGTTTGGCGTTCCCCTAATCGTTAATGTCCAACGTACCGGGCAACCTCTTCCGCAGAGCATTCAACAAGCTATGAGATACCTTCGTAACAACTGTTTGGATCAGGTGAGCGTCTTCTCATTGGTCTAGGATTGGGATCTTCCACTGTGAGCGATGTTCATTTTTCCTCTTGTCTGTTAGTGCTGAAGTTGCATTGTTGAATGAATGAATGAATGAATGAATTCTTTATTGGCCAAGTGTGATTGGACACACAGGAATTTGTCTTGGTACAAATGCTCTCAGTGTACATAAAGGAAAAGATACATTCATCAAGAGTCAAGAACCATCAGGTACAACACTTATTAGGAAACAGTCAATATAAATCGTAAGGATACAAGCGACAAAGTTACATCATACGGTCACAAGTGGGAGGGGATGGGTGATCAGGAGTGATGAGAAGATTAATAGCAATAATAGTGCAGACTTTGTAAATAGTTGGACAGTGTTGAGGGAATTATTTGTTTAGCAGAGTGATGGCGTTTGGGGAAAAACTGTCCTTGTGTCTAGTTGTTTTGATGTGCAGTGCTCTACATAGCATCGTTTTGAGGTTGTTAAATTACTCTATTAGAATAGATAGTCAAGTGAATATATTTATGATTAGATTGTAATCGTGCCCCCGCCCCCCGCCCCGAAAAAATACTATACAATAAAAATACAAAAAAGATGTTGAGACTTTGGAAAAAGTTCAGAGAAGGGCAACTAAGAGGCTCAAAGACCTGGAGGCCAAACCATACAAAAAACAGCTGCAGGTTTTGGGTCTGGCTAGTCTAAAGAAAAGAAGAGTTGGGGGTGACATGATAGCAGTATTCCAGTATTTGAAGGACTGCCACGAAGAAACCTAGTCTACGAAGCACCAGAGGGAAAGATATGATGGTTGGGAATTAATCAAAGAGAGAATTGAGGAGAAACTTCCTAACAGTGAGGACAATAAACCCTGTTGGAGTCGGACTCTGAGGGAGAGGAGGAACAGCCGACAGGGAGTGGAAGTGTGGGTCTGGAGGTTGTGGAGGAGTCTGGGGAAGGGCAGAGGCTGGCTGGGCAGTCAGAGGAGGACCCGGGCCCATCCCCTTTCCATTCTAGGGCACACAGGAAGGAGAGGATAAGGGAGAGACGTGAATGGCATGGTCTGGTGGGGGGAGGAAAGGGCCTTGATCCTCTTCATGGGCTGCAGCTGTGAGAACTGGTTAAAAGGACGGACATGCGTATGGGCCAGTGCTGGAAACAAAGCATGGAAATATCTGAGTTTGATGTCCTTCCCAGTGTGCGTTCAGATATTTGGAGCTTTGAAGCAAAGTGAAGGAATAAAAGGGCCTTCACCTGTTTTTGTGACCGTGTTTATTTTGTATCCCACGCTGGGTCATCACAGAACCAGTGGAATAACTTGCCTTCAGAAATCGTGGGCACTCCATCACTGGAGGTTTTTAAAAAGAAACTAGACAGGCACTTATCTGAAATAATATATGTTCTCCTGCTTGAGCAGAGGGCTGGACTAGAAGACCTCCAAGGCCTCTTCCAGCTCTATTCTATTCTAAGTATGTCCAAAAGATCTATGTCCAAATATCAATGTCTACGCCATCTAACCATTGAAGCAAAGCACTGTTTCTATTTTTAAAAAAACACAATACTGGATTGGTATGTGCCCTCAGCTTACAACCGAGGTTATATACAGGTAGTCCTTGACTTACAACGGTTTATTTACTGACCGTTCAACGTTACAACGGCACTGAAAAAAGTGACATCACCATTTGTCACATTTACAACCTTTGCAGCATCCCCATGGTCACGTGATCAAAATTCAGATGCTGAACAACTGGTTCATACTTACGACGGTTCCTGTGTCCCAATGTCACATGATCCCCTTTTGCGACTTTCTGACAATTCACTTAACAACTGGGTTTCTAACTTATCAACTGCAGTGATTCACTTAACAACTGAGACCAGAACAGTTGTAAAATGAAGCAAAATTCACTTAACAACAGAAATTTTGGGCTCAATTGTGGTCGTAAGTCAAGGACTACCTGTACATAAAACTCATTTTATTGGGTTCTGCTAATCTAGGTGAAATTTATATTGCTATTCCATATATGATATGCCCTACACTAAATAAGTCCCCTAAACACTTAACCTCTCCTATGCAGGTATGCTAGCAAAAAAATAGCTTATGGTATAATTCCAGACTAGCCTGTGTGTGGTGCTTTTTAATGCAGTGAGACATAATTTTTCACCTCAAAATTAATGTGACAAAATATAGAAAGGGCTGCACAACCTGTTATTCACTCACCAAAATCAGCTCTCGAATTGAATCCCAGTGCCACAGGTAAAAGTGTTATTGGTAACTGCTTCCTGATTGTGTGACACAAACACTTTCCTTTTGTCGCACAGGTTGGCCTTTTCCGAAAATCTGGAGTCAAGTCAAGAATCCAGGCCTTACGTCAAATGAATGAGAATGCAATAGGCAAAGTGAATTATGAAGGCCAGTCTGCTTATGATGTGGCTGACATGCTCAAACAGTATTTCCGCAACCTGTCCGAACCTCTCATGACCAACAAGCTTTCAGAGACATTCTTACAGATCTACCAGTGTAAGTCACTCCGGTTCATAGTTTCCCAAATAGTTGTTCTATCCTAGGCCTCCCCAAAAAGCACTAAGTCAATTCTGAGTCCCAGCAAAAACCTCTTTTATTACATTAATGTGAATTTGTTTCATTCACAGTCAGCCAAAGGCTTGGGAAACAGTCTTGCAAAGTTATACTAATTAGTTCAGACCTTGGAAAGCTGCCCGGTAAATAGGTCCACACTCAGTGCTGGCAGGGAAGGGCTGGGTTATACAGACAAATCTCCATGAAGCAAACAAACGACCCAAACGAGCAAGTTGTTTCCTGCAAAAGTCCCCGTCCCCTTTTGCTCCTCTTTCAATCCTGATGGGAGGGGCCGTTCACCATCCACCTGTGGCCTTACTCCCACATCGACCCTGAGTTCTTAATTGTGCCTTCCTTTTGGGAGCTCCGTGCATGCGCAAGCTGGGAACCAGCTAGCTCCCCCGCCTCACTGCTGTCCGAGCCCGAAGGCAGCTGATGACTGCCAGCCTGCCCTGGCCCCATCTCTGCCTCTGATGCAGAGCCCTCGTCCGAGCCTTCCTCGGACTCCAGGAATGGTCGGGGTTCCTCCCCAACCTCCTCACTACTGTCCGACTCTGCTGCCAGCTCCGCCAGCTGCTGGCGGGCCCCAGCAATACTCACCTTTCCTCTGGCCCAGACAAAAGAATTATTTTTAATATGTCATAGTTCGATTGGTTGTTATGTGTTTTACTTGTGTGCATTTCCTTTTATTATATACATTGCCCAGAGTCACTATGTGAGACGGGCAGCTATACAACTGATAAATCATAAGTCCATAAGTGATAAATGAATAAGTCCATATAAGGTCAGCCAGGGTTGCTGTTTTTAGTAAGGAACTTTAATCCATGGATTGATGGAGGCTCTATCGCTTCCAGAATATACCTTTCCATGGGTTTATATTCCCCTCTGTAAGAATTTCCCACCTCCAAGAAGACCTTACTATGGTAGTTTGTAACTCTTGCATTTTGGGAATACTTTTCCTTTAGCGCATCAAAGTGTACTAAATATATCTGCTTTTCTTTCAACTTTGTTCCCCTTTATCAAATTTTATGCAGTAAACCAGGCAAAATGTGGCATTGGAGCATTTGCTGTGCTCTATAACCAAAGCTTTGTGTGATGGTCATATCTCTACAACTACAGATTCTTTTCTTTGCTCTGTCTGCTTGTTGAAGTACAGCCTGGATATTTTGTTGGGTCAAATCAGGAATAGTTTAAGGGCTTTTTGTTTTCACTGGCTTTCCAGTTGAGGAACATGCTTGACTGGTGTATACAAATCTTTCTTCCAGTTCTTGTCGATGGAGTTTAATGATGAAGTATCTGTTGCTACGCCTGGTTCCTAAACTGAACAATCTAATTTGTAAAAACCTCTTTTTTTTGGCCATTCTCCTGCTCTCAAAATTAAGTTCTAAATTTAACTCTGGCATATTTAGGGCTTTGTTTTACCCTTGAGTCTCTCGCTAAGCAGGAAATACCTGAGGGCAGTTATGCCGTTGACATTTTTTCATTTACCATGAATGGTAAGCAGCACGCTAAAGGAAATCGCTTGAGACTAAAGTCAAAAATAGCCAAATTAAAGAGTCTGCTTTGGGTTGCATTCATGCTGCATGGGTGGAAAATCAATGAGTTGATGAGAAGACTTCTAATTTTGTGCAGATGTGCCAAAAGACCAGCGCCTCCAGGCCATCAAGGCAGCCATTATGCTCCTACCAGATGAGAACCGAGAAGTCCTACAGATTCTTCTGTATTTTCTGAGTGACGTCACGGCTGCTGTGAAAGAAAACCAGATGACGCCAACAAATCTGGCGGTGTGTTTGGCACCTTCTCTTTTCCACTTGAACACCCTTAAAAGAGAAAAATCTTCTCCGAGGTAAGTCTCCATATTTGTTCTACCTGAGTTCCAATGGCTGCTCCCCTGTTGAAGAAAGCTTTTCCTTTCAATTTTGTCACCCTTTTGTTTTAGGGAAAAAAATGTTTCTCCCAAACTGTTTTGTATTTAAGTTGTTATCCTGTAAAAAATACAAGATATCGGTTTTATTTATGTAGAGCTATGATTTGTAAACCACCGATTTTCAGAAGTTGCATGTGTTCTGACCGAGGCTTCCCAAGATCATGAAGCCGACTCCTCATCCCAATAAGACCCCTTTTATTTCAGTTAAAGTGAATTCCTCTCCAGCAAAGTCCCAGAAAACAGTCTTTCATGAGATTTCACAACTACAGACCTTTATCAGGCTTGGAGAGTTACCAGGCCGATAACTTCCAAATGCCACTCTGTAGCAGACAATACTTGGCAAGAAGTCAGGAACAGATCTTCACCCTAATGAATTGAACTAATTGTCTCCTGCAAACATTCCTTTCCTGTCTCCTTTCGCTCCTCTTGATTCCCTATGGGAGGATCCATTCACCGTCCACCTGAGCCTTTACTCCCGAGTCGATCCTTGTTCCTTAGCTGTTCCCTTCTGCTGGCAGTTCTGCTCATGAGCACACTGGGAACAGGCTCCAGCTGTTCTTCTGCCCCACTGATCTCCAACTCCGAAGTCAGCTGATAACTGTCGGACGGCCCTGACCCATCTCTGCCTCCGACACAGTACTCATCAGAGCCTTCCCCAGACTCCAGGACTGGTCCATGTTCCTCCCCAGCCTCCTCACTGTCCGAGTCTGACTCCAGTTCCACTGGCGGGCCACAACAGCACGTTATTGTGCCCATATGCCATCTCTCAGTTCTTTTGCCAAAGAAATTTACTCAGCATCTGTATGTGAAGGTTTTAGAATCATAGGGCTGGATGGTCAAGACAGGAGACTTATTCCCAGTCAAATGGTTATCCAGTCTACATTGATATTTCAAAAATCAAAGCCTGATCAAAGAGGTTGGTTTTGGCTGGCGAATTACCTTAACCTTATATAAAAACAATCAATACAGTCCGATGAACAGAGACTTGAAGGAAGTTTCATTGTCTTGTGTTTCCCCTTATAGGTGTTTTTTTTTTAATTTCAGCATAAGATTGCAAAGGAGATCAGAGGGGCTCATGTCTATGTCAGTACCCATAGATGTGGATTGTAAGAACCTTGATCAGGGTCACTTCCATCAATTATACCAATACATGAAAAGTCAAGGTCCACGAGAGAAGCTGAAAATCAATACACTTAGATGCAGAAAATCAAATATAAAAATAGGTTTTAGATGCAGTCCCTAGCTTTTGCCTTAATTATTCATTTAGAGACCAGCCGATTCGTGTATTCTGATCTCCTTATATTGATTAGTCTTGTTCATTCATTGATAGGGTAATGCAGAGAAAACAAAGTCTGGGAAAACCAGATCAGAAAGACCTAAATGAGAATTTGGCTGCAACTCAAGGCTTGGGACATATGATCGCTGAGTGTAAGAAGCTTTTCCAGGTGAATATTTGTCGATTTGCTCTTTTTAACGTCTTGACCTAGTATTCTGTAGAGGTTGTGTCTTTGTTCTTGGCACCTAATGTTCTTTCTGGCAGGTATCCTTGCTGGGCAGCTGTCAAAATCTGCACTCTTCCCACATAAAAGGACTTTATGATGTCTCACTCTGTGTGTCCGTCTGTGTCTCCGTCTCTGTATGTCTGTGTGTGTAAATTGGGGTTTGGGTTTTCTGTGCACGCACTTCAGTGATGGTAGAACTACATAATCTTTCTGGGGAGATTAGATTTGGTCCTGCTGTCACTAAACTGCTACAATATTATGGACAGCCACTTTCAGAACAAAGAAAACAACACAAATGTTGGCTCATCCTTGGGAACCTCCAATTATTGACTCCCTGTTTTATTCATTTCCTAAATCTTAGATCCCGGAAGAAATGAGCAAATGTCGGAATTCTTACACAGAACAAGATCTTCGACCTCTCAGCTTTGAGGACTTGGGACAAACTAACAACTCGGAGTTTGCCAGTTATCATTCTTATATCCAGGATTGTATGGATGATTTTTTCAAGGAAATAAAGGATAAATTTAAGGGCTGGGTCAGTTGTCCCACCCCGGAACCAGCAGAACTTGCCTATAAAAAGGTACAGTATATCGGCATATTTCTAGTGTTTCTGCATAGTTTTTAACAGACAAAAATTAATTTAAATAGTCAGTCTTCCTTCAATCTCATGCATTGTCTTTCTGTAACCATACACTCAAGCGTTCAATGCCATCATTCCAGAAATTCGCTGAATTGATCTAGCTTACTGTATCTGCTCATATTTGTAGGTGGATTATCAGGTTTTTGACAGATAGGAAGCAGATGAGACTAGGGGAAATTGTATCTAGTACCCAGGCAATGAGGACAAGTGTCCCCCGAGGCTGTGTGCTCTCTCCGTTGCTCTTTTCCCTCTGCCAATGACCACTTCAAGGAAGCCCCTGTTGAAGTTCTGACGTTTACAGACAATACAACAGATGTTGGCCTCATTTGAGACGGTGATGAGTCTGCATACAGATGGGAGATTAAACAACTGGACCTGTGGTGGTAACAGTCTGGAGCTGAATATGCTTAAAACTGTAGAGGTGGAGGTGGGTTTTTGGCGGAACCTGTGGGTTTTTTTCACCTCTTACCACATTTGACAGCACAATATCGGCAGTACAGTCCATCAAATTTTGGGGTTCTATAATCTCCCAGAATTTGAAAGGAACAGTTAACATTAGGTAAAGGTATACATGCTAATCGTTTCCAGCTCTGGGGGGGCTCATCTCTGTTACAAAGCCGAAGAGCCAGCGCTGTCTGGAGACGTCTCCATGGTCACGTGGCTGGCATGACTAAACGACAAAGGCACACAGAACACTGTTCTCCTCCCACCAAAAGTGGTCCCTGTTTTTCCACTTGCATTTTTACATGCTTTCGAACTGCTAGGTTGGCAGAAGCTGGGGGCAAGTAACGGGAGCTCACTCCGCTACAGGGCGCTAGGGATTTGAACCGCTGAACTGCCAACCTTTCTGAACAACAAGCTCAGCGTCTTAGCCACTGAGCCACTGTGTCCCTTTTTACAGTTAACATTAGAAACCTCATTAAAAAGACACCACAATGAATGTTCTTCCTGGGTCTGCTCAGGAAGTTCAGACTGCCCCAGAAGCTGTTGATACAGTTTTACATAGGGAATTGTTGAGCCTGCCATCTGTACTTCTATAGCTGTCCAGTTTGGTACAGCAACCATATAGGAAAGGCACAGACTCAAAACGAGATTACAGCAAAAACAGTTGCTACCAACCTGTTTTCCATTGAGGACCTGTATACTGCATGGGTCAGAAGGAAGGCTGAGAAAATGTCTACAGACCCCTCACAACCTGGGAATGAACTGTTTCATCGTCTCTCCTTGGGGTGGCGCTACAAAGCATTGCAGGCCCAAACAACTAGACACAAGGGTAGTTTTTCGCTTGGACCATCACTCTGCTGAATATCTAATTCTCAAAGTACTGTCTAATGTCTGTGTATACCTACCTGTTGTGATTGGAAGGATCGGCACTGTTGGGAGTTTTGACTCTGATGACTGTTAGATCCTGGATTGTGTGGATTGACGTCAGAACCAGGAAACGTTAATCTGAGGGGCAAGCCAGTTAATTAGCACGTTGCCTTAATGGGTATAAAAGGACACAGCTGACTTGGTGCCTTTCGCCAGAAACAAAATGACTATTTGAGTGAGGACGTTACAGCAAAGAGCTCTGAGGTTGAGGATTTATTGCCAGGACTGGTTTGCCGGACAGAGTAAAGATTTATGCTGTGGTTTCTGCCAGCCGTTATCTTGTAAGACTTCTTTCCATTTGATTTAATTGTGAAACGGCTGCTTTCTGTTTTGTTCGTTTGAATTTCCAAGAGGAGACATAACACCTACCCATGTAGTATGGCTGTAGTATTAACATTATCCTTCTTATTATCTTGTTTGCTACCCTCTCCTGTTGTTGTTGTTATCATCGTTGTTACCATCATTCTGTTGATTTGCATGTACACTGAGAGCTTCTGCACCGGAGACAAATTCTTCATGTATCTAATCACAAGTAAAATATTCTAATCCATAAATATGGTCATTGCTCTTTCTGAACATTGCTAAATAAGGCTGTTGGTGGTATCATTTTCTGCACTGTGTTCTTGGCCAAACTGGCAGACCAAAAATTTTCATTGTGATATAGTACACTCAGAAGTGACTTTATTTTTTTATCTTGAATCCGTACGGTTCCATTTAGTCAATAATGATTATTCAATAAAAGGACTGTGGCAGTGAAAATGATTAACTCTTTAGGCAACGATGTACTTGCAGGTTTGCGAAGGTCCACCTCTACGGCTATGGAAATCCGTGGTTGAAATCCTTGCGACGCCTGAAGAAGTATTAAACCGTATCATTAAAGAACAGCATCTCTGGGATGAAGATCTTTTAGATGCTAAAGTCATTGAGACTTTGGATAGCCAGACTGATGTCTATCAATTTGTACAAAACAATATGGCTCCACACCCAGCAAGAGACTACGTCATCCTCAGGTAACTGTATCCATAAAACACTTTCTTAAAATTTAGCAGCTGGGGATAAAAATACATTTGGGAAAAAATTGCTCATCTTCCTTTCTGCCCCTCAACCGTTCTTACAGAAGTTGTACTTGATTTTCTAACAGGACTTGGAGAACCAATCTCTCTAAGGGAGCATGCGCCCTCTTAAGTTTCTCAGTGGAACATGACCGTGCGCCCGTCCTTGGTATTAGAGTGAATGTGCTGCTGTCCAGGTATCTTATTGAACCTTGTGGGATAGGAAAATCCAAACTCACCTATATGTGTCGAATTGATTTAAGGTAAATTATGTCCTCTGTTTTCCTTAGGTTGTTGGGCAGGGAAATTCTATCTCCAGGACAGTGACGGCTAACCTTTTGGGGTTCCTATGCCAAAAATTGCACGTGCGCTTGCATACACACACTCGCGTGCCAGCACCCAGAAGGCAATGCACGACCCCTACGCATGCGCATGCAATCCCCCCCACCCCCTCTTACCTGCACTGCGCCTCCCAGCTGATTTTCAGCCGGTTTGAGGCCTTTTTTGGCCTCCCAAAGGCTTGAGGAAGGCTTCTGCAGGCCGAAAACTAGCCCCGCCAGTCATTGGCAAGGGATTGTGTAAATTAAAGATTCCACCTTCAGAAAGGCCCTTGTTTTGCTCACTCCATGGTAGAAAAGCCAATTAAAATTAATTTGGTTACTTTGGATTACCAATCGGCATTATTGGCTTATTGAATACTGATGGTTCCAGAAAAAATTCCCTTGTTAGCTGATTTTGCAATTTGCTATTTTAAGAGCCTTTGAATAAAACTAAGTGCCTTAAACAACAGAAACCATGCTTCTGTTTTTGGAGAATGCATTTGGGGCCAGAGTCAGCCCAGATATAGCTTTGTAGATATTCTTTTAGCAAGGGCAACCAACTTCTTTGGAACAAGAGCAACCTTGCTTGTTGCCTTCCTTTATATGCAATTAATTCGTTTACCTGCTTACCACGGCAGCCTTTTTACTTGAGTGCCCACAGCATGCTTTCAAACCAGCTTACAAAAGATGGTTTAGTCCGTTTTTGCAAATTCTGCTTTTCAAGGTCTCTTTTGTGATCCCAAATGGAGATTTTTGGGGAAATACGTAAACTTCTAAAAGGCCATCTTTCCGCGAGTCAGCCTTACGGACTTAGCTACCTCTTTGGTTGCTTCTGTTCCATACTTGCTTACTAATAGAAGGGGGCGGGGAACATTTTGGAGGAAAAAAAATATCTAAATCCCGCCTTTTCTTTCTTTGAAACAGGGGACACAAGCCTGACTGGTACACAAAGGCATTTGGGCACTTGTGTGCAGCTGAGGTTGTGAGGATTAGAGACTCTTTCCTTAATCAAAATCTTGAGGCTAAGGAAGCAACATCCAGGTGATGGATCAAGTGGAACAACTCAGCCTATCTGGAGACTTTCGGGGAAGGTTGATTATCCACCCTAGGATGGATCTGATATCCATTAGGTCCTAAAGAGAAACTTTCTGGAATGGGTCTGAGATTGTCCATCAAAATTAGGTGACAATCCCTTGCATTTTTTTAAAGCTGCTTTTTCTGTCTGTGTTAGGCCTATAGTGTAGGTCTTAACTGGAAAACTTTTGGATGGTGCAACTTCTTTTTTTTAAAGGTAAGATATTAATGTTTGCTTAGGAGCTGTGAATTGCTTCTGAGAAGCAAAGCTCCAAGACTTAAATATATTTCTGAAATATAGTGAAAATTATTCATTCCTCTGTTAGGTTAGCTTTCTGTATGTATGTGTATGTCGTTTGCTGAGGGACTGCTGCAACCACTGGATTTGGTGTGTTCCTCGGTGGATTTTCACGACAGTAAGTGTAGGAAGGTTTGCACGAAGGCAGAAGTGTGAATGACTAGAGTATGAAAAGCCCAAACGGTAGAATCAGAGTGTCTGGTACACTTGGAAGGCATTGGGAAGAATTTAGCAGGTGGGATCAGCCTAAGAATCTGACTGAGAGGCCCATTACAAACTTCAGCTCTTCATTCCTCTGAGTTCTTATTGCTCATGTCCGTTATCTAAAGATTGACAAGTGTGGAGGCTACATCAGCCAGGGCAAAGATGGATAAAAGGCCAGATATATATTTCAGGGTGTGTCTTTCATATGGCAATAATTTTGTATCTGCTCCTAAGTTGGAAGGCCACGTGTTGGCCGTGCTCAGACTTTATATTATTTGGAATACTTTCTTAACGATCTGTAAGGAGCATCTCAAGAAAATGTGAATGAAGTGGCAGCTCCAGAAAGCCTGAATGTCTTGGAAAGGACACTACATCGATCCTGATATATAAGATTCCAAGGAGAAGAGATCATCTGGGGTGTGGAAGGACACTTTGTACAGCACCTAATCTTTAAAGAAAACTCTGTGTTTTCTTAGTGCATTTGGTTGCAGCAGAAATCAAAAGTCTCTTTGGGTTAACTTCCATATCATGGTCCCCAAATCACTTTTCCTACCACCTTTTAGTATCCGTTCACATGTTAGGATACAAATAGAAGCCTAAACCAACATCTTTGTTTCATTAACATAGGAATAAAAGCTTGTAGTTTGAGTACAGGGCCAAAACTGCTTTCCATAGCTGAACAGGGCAACACTGAAAAATATCATAACTGGAACATTATAAAGTTCTAAAGTGTTTCCGCATAGCAGATACTCCTAGGAGTTAAACATATTCATATAACCCATTCCATTATAACCGCATAACCTCATTTATCGACAAGATTTGGAGGAAAATATCCCCCAAAAGTTAGAAGCAATGTAAGTTGGGTAAAAACGAATATCTGTGCCACGAAATTATGTGACATAATGCAAAGAACTGCAGGTTAAAAGAAGCATATTAAAATTATCAAGAGTTCTATTGTGAACTTTGTTGTAGACATCCCAGAAGTATAAGCTAGAGCAGAGCCGTGGTTGCAATAATAAATGAAAATAGGAAGATACATGTAGGATGTTGCCATTTTACCTGTCTAAAAACTGCATATTAACTGTCCAGTGTTTTTGGGGGATGAAGGGGAGTCAAATTATTATTTTGCATGTAATATTTGTCAACACTTTCTGCATATCTTGATGAGCATTATTAGTAAGGAAACTTTTTTAAAAAGCCTTTAGAGAATGACACTGTTTCAGTGATAGATTTTACTGTAAAAACAACAAAGCACAGGGAAGATAAATACTGTCCTGGTTTCAGAATATATGTACTTTATTCCCATGCATTGGCTGATAGGAAGAATAGAAAATCATTGTAACCCATGCTGTTAAATAACATTGCTGTTGTGTAATTCGAGGCTAAAACCTGACCCAAAAGCAGGACTTCATGTCTTGCTGTGAATCTACCCCTTTCCAAATCTGTTATGGGCCCCACTATTGAAAAAAAATTACACTTTGATTGACAGATGCACGATTCAGGTGTAAATGCTATGAAATAAAACGAAAGGTGGTTTATCTGTATATTTGGAATAAAGTCATTGTATAGATCCATTGGAATAACTAAAACCGGAGCCTTATTGCTGTAAATTACTGCCAGGATGTATGTTGTGCCCAAAGATGATGTGAAATTGGCAGCTTTGTTCATTCAGAAAAGACCTGTGCAATTTCCACCTGGTCTTCTTTCCCGGCCTTGGGACTGTGGCATATGTAGAAGAAGCTCTTAGATACCGTTGTCAGTATTATTATTATTATTTTTCATAGCGTGTTTTGAGATGACTTTTCAGAATATTAGGAAGAGTTCTCCCTAATTCTGCACCTGTACTAATGCCACCTTGAGTTGTTTTGGCCCGTTTATTTTCCCTCTGTGTTCAATCTATAAGCAGTGTTACGTCAAGAAAGGGTCTGTGTGGTAGGTGAGAATTCTTCCTTGTATCTGATTTAGAAGACTGTGTCCTTCATGATCATCCTCTTCTTGGGACAAAAAAACGCGGCTCTGCTCAAACCAAGAAATGATATTTACAAGGGACACCATCACCAGAATTAAAAATAGACTGGTACTGACTGTTTCAGGGAAACACGGAAGTGCAATGTTCTAGCTGTTCTAGGTCGTTCGTATCTTCCCGTTACAGGTAGTCCTTGACAACCTGGCAACTATATAAATTGCAAGTGACAGGACCTGGGAGTCGTATAGAAAATCCTGCCGTCATTAAGCAAATCCATTGTTCTCTGGGGTGCATTCCACCACCCGCCCGCCCACCCCGAAAACTGGAAGTAAATTCCTGTTTCCAGAAGAAGTGATAAATTACAGTCACGTGACTGCAGGACGCTGCAAACAGCCCGACTCCCCAAAATGCGGTCACGTGACGGGAGCAGCCATTGGAACTTCAGAACCGGGTCTTTCAGGGGGTGTCCATGGTAACTTCAAATAATCGCTAAGCAACCAGTTGTAAGTTGAGGACCACCTGCAACTGCTTTCCAGTCAAGTTCTTTGATCCGATGCCCCTCCATTGCCATTTACATCTGGAGGGCAACAGGCAGCCATCTTATTCCTAGCTAAAAACTCTGGCATTCATTCCACTGACATCCTTGTAAAATGTGTTGCCAGGTGAAGGTTTTAGGTATTGTGCCATTTACGGTTCTCATCAACAGGTGAATTGTGTATTCTTTGTATACTTTTTATTTCTTTAAATATGTAAAAAAAAAAAGGAAATGTATGTTGTACATACCATTCTGATGTAAACGTGTTCACACTTTATTGTCCAGCATAAAGCATGGAGATAATTATTTAAGATATACTTGTATTTATACCTCAGATATTCTTTGAAGGAGAGGCAGGGTGTTTGTATCTCCAGTTTGGCTGTCCTTTCCTCCAGTGTAAATATGTCCTACACAACTGAAAATAAAAGATAAAAAAGAAGAAAAGGTTTATAGCTTGCTATTATATGCCCGTACAGAACATAGTCAATAAATGCACTATTAAGTGTTTGCGTTTGCGTGATATCTGAATTCTTCTCCATTTTCTATGACCTTTTGCAACTGTGGAGGCTCCCCAAGGAGGAAAGAAAGTGTGCATTTGATCCATAGGCCAGATGTCTCAAATGTGTTCTACCATACATGCAGATCGTGGTGATGTGGCCTTTTTTTTAAATGCTGATGTTGGAACACAGCTTCTTGTAGATATTTCTAGTTTCCTGTAATCACATCCTCTTTTAACTAGCAAAGTCCTTTGCAAACTTTAAAGGAACAAGCCCCTCTTGAAGTATCATCCTACGCAGAGGTTTTAGCAGATGAACAAGCTCTTGTAGGAACAGCTCTTAAGGCCTCCCTTTAAAACAGTTTCATGGCTCTCTAGTTGCGGGTTTCTGTTTATCCAATTGCATAAAGCCCCAGATAAGCAGGCTACATCCTCCTGTTTAGTTCATCAGGATAATAGCAGAGCTGTTTAAACAAAAAATTGTTCAAAAGCACAAAGGAAATGCTGTGGGCCTGTCCAGGAAATGCGAAGGTTCCTTCAAAACAAAAGGGAAAAGGGGGAAAAAAAAGAGGGGTGAGGAAGTCCCCCAGCGATAGACGGGTGAAAGCAATAGGAAAGAAGCCAAAAGTAGAACTCTGGTGGTGTCTCTCATTCTCAACAGGGGTATAAAAGTGTGGTATTGAGGAAGGTCAACTACAAAATGTTAGAAAGAGGGGATCCAAAAATGTCAGTGCAACTCTGACCAGGTGATTGTAGCCCTGCCCTTTTTTAAATTAGGGTAAAGTTAAAAAAAAAAAATGGTACGATTCTAAGAAGTTCCTTTCCTCCAATTCTGTTGACCTCCCTTTAGACTTGGCAGCAGATTTAATCCCTCAGGTGAAGACGGAAGATACAAACTGGTGTGGAGATACAATAACTAACAAGAAAACCTGTATTTGTTTATTCACTTCTAAGCAGCTCCTTGTCTGTTTTAAGATTCTTAAGGAGGAGTGACCGAGCCTCGGTTGCATTTCAGAGGCCTTTGAGAAACATTTTACCGATGGAAATAGATGTAGAAATAGCAGCATCCAAGGGACACTGGTTTTTAAACGTCAATACCGACTGGCTGAAGCCTCCTTTAAAACCAGTAGAACAAGAAATACGGAAGAAATATAATATATATATATATATATATACATATTCTTACTGCAGCCAGAATTACTTACACCCAGTGCTGGAAACGTACGTGTATACCACCAGATGAATTGATCATTCAAAAAATAACGATTTGTGCTGAGATGAATAAATTAACTCTGATGTTACAAGAGAAAGAGGAGACCGAGTATTATAACACTTGGGGAAAAAAATGGTATGACTGGGTTGAGCAAAGATAGAAAAAGGGATGATGACAAAATTAATAAGCAACATATAAGCTAATATTTACATTCACATAAATTGTATATATATTTGTAAATAATCCACAAAATAGTAGTATAAGATGAATGCCACAAACTGTTGAAGTTAAGGTATTTGTACTTTTTGTTTGTTATTTTTAAGTTATAAAAGTCTAATAAAGTTTATTTAAAAAAAAAAACCAGTAGAACAAAAAAATTTCCAGTGTTTTGCTGAGCTGTAATTTTCCTTTTACAAAGAAGATGGCATGTGTCAGGTAAGAAATAATATCATCCCCATCTTTCATATTGTCAATAATTGGGAGTCCTGAATGGTCTGTTCGTGCCAGAAGCAACTAACACTTCTGTCAACTGAGAAAGACAGAATGAAATGAAGCAAACTGATGCCTTCTGGGTGTATTTGGATTACCACATTCGTAGCCCTTGCCATGATGGACAGTTGCCAAGCTTCTAAGCATCGCACTCCAAGGTAGCTAGATGTACCATGTTGCATCGCCTATCCTCAATCTAGGATGATAGGAGTTTCACAAGCTAATGATCCTCAAAAGAAACATCTGCCCGTTTGTCCTGACTTCTTGACCAGGATGATTACTCGAAACGTTTTCCTGCCAAGTATCATATCTTCTGAAGGAAATTCACTAGATTAGCTCTCAAGCATGTTTTTTTTTATGCTCTAAATGATGCACAATCCACTGCCTTCCTCAATAGACGGAGTGCCCTCTGGTGGAAAACAAACTGGTTAACTTTTCTGAAAGGCTGACTCTCTCCATTTCATAAGCAGTGTGTGAAATTGTTGGACGGCTGAAATAATTGCCCTGGGTGTTATAAGTGGAAATAAAACCAGCCAATGTGTCTATGAATAGAAAGAGAAACTGGTTCTCAAATGTTGTTAAAAAGGCGTAAGATTTTGTGAGCAATTCACTTCATCAAATGCATTGAGTGGTTAGACCAGTGCTTCCCAACTTTTTCCTTCATTGCCTAAAATAGTTCATCAGAAAGTCCTTATTTAAATAACCTTGTAGTTATTGGGTAATGGGTTTGTGTTTCATCCCACCCCATCCAGCCAGAAAAAACTTTTACCCAATTTTAGTTAATTTACTTTGGGAACAGAGAATTTCTCTTAGGTGGAGAAATATTTTCTGAGGAGAATGCTATATTGTGTTCACCAAATAAGGTAGTCATTAGATTTGCAAAAAGGACAGAAAATGAGACAAAACTCAGTAACTTCCTTGCTTATTAATGGAAATTTGGGGCTCAGCTGTGATTGTAAGTTGACAACATTTTAAATTTTACCTCATAATACTCTTAAATGCAAAGAGATCAGGTGGGAAAGGACCAACAGAGGCCTCATTCTTGCACCAAATCTCCAAGAGAGCAGCTTTATTTTACAATCGTGTGTGCTATTTATTCATCTGAAGTACACACAGCTCACTACTCCTCCTATGCACAGAATTCAAAGAAGCAAGCATTCACAGACTATTGGGATATGCCACTTTTGCATAGGCATGGCATATAATACCAACAGAAGAAGAAGAAGAAGAAGGAGAAGGAGAAGGAGAAGAAGAAAGAAGTCATTGTACAAGTACAACAAAACTGGATGGCATATAATATCAACTGTACTAGATACATAGGTGGGTCTTCACAGCTATTTTGACTGGCAAGGCAAAAGGTAACATTGAGATTGGGAGGGCTAATAGCTATCTCTCTCTTTTTTTTTTTTAAAAAAAAGCATTGATTAATACAGAAATCCACATTTCTCCACTGCCCCAGGGCAATATTTTGTCCTATGTATTTTTAGTTGCAATTTAGACTTCATTCATTTATGTGTGTGTCCTATATTTTTAGGATAAGTTCTTCCTAAATAGGAATTTGTAAAATCAAGTAATGTAGGGTCTTTATAGTCCAGAAGAGGGCCATCTAACATCAGCTTCTTGAACATTTGCAGTTCTAGACATATTTCAGTCATTGTCATTCCTAGTTTGCAATTTTTTAGTCCAACAGCCAACATTTTTTTTTTATGATGATGATGATGATGACAATGCAGAATTATTCAATGAGGGCCTTCCAATTGTGTTGAATTTCAATCTCATTTTCTGCCCTCTAGGCTAAGAATTCTAAGGTACACGTTAAAAAAAAAGTGAAGCCTCGTTGTATTATGATGAAACAAAACACATCATTCCATATACAGGTTTTTATGATGAGTCCAATATATACATTTTATTAGATATTCGAGTCACTGGAAATCTGCACATTTTGAATGAAATGATGTTTAAACATTTAAAAATGACAGTTCAGACAGTTGCAGTATAATATTTGGTACAAAGTTGGCAATTACGATATTGAGAATTGCTACCCCAAATGCATGGCAAGACGTTACCCAATAATGAATTGGCATTGAGTTCTAAGTTTTTAACAGCTTGGATGAAATGTGGATGATATTTCTATTATTCTGAGGTGCACAGCAGTATCTTATAGTGTGGTATCCTGTGAATTTGGAGTACATGAATTCACCACTACAAATGCAGTTTCAAGAAGAGTTGCCTATCATTTGGATAAACTAAAAAATCTAATTCTTCACGAGAGGTGCCTATATCTCCAAGTTAAAAGATCTACAAAGCAGGTACATGATGACGAATGGATGACATTTGCCACAAAAAGCAACTATAGTTTTGACAGGCCCCCGGTGCCTCCAAATTGATTCCTCAATTTCCCCTTCTCAATTCAGAGGGAATTCATTACATTACTATTTGCAGAAAGCCAATCCTGCCTCCTGCTTATCCAATAAATATCCCCATTATAGTTTCATCAAATGTGGAAGGAAGATTACAAAAGTGAGATCTGTTCACTCTGACCCATGGTGTGTTGTATTTATTGAAGTAGCAGGACAGAAAAGAAGCTGACTCAATCAAGATGGCTCATCAAGAGAGAGGCCATTTGGGAAAATGTTACTTCCAAAAAGCCCAACTTTAGATGCTGATAATAGCCTACAAAGTCTAAAGGTCTCAGCCATTATTGTCATGATTGTGTTTTACTGTAATTTTTTTTAACTAGCCAGAAATATACTCTTACATGCAGGAGAAAGTGGTGTGAGGAAAAAAAAAAAACAAGACAGCAGCCACAATTTACTCCATTTTTCACAGGCAGCACATGTAATAGATTTTTTTTTTTTAATGTATTGTAGGCCAGATGTATTGTCTTCTAGAAGAACTGTATTGTTTGCCACGATAACTAAGCCCAACTAGATCTGTTAGGATGTGAAAAAGAATGCTTTAGGAACATCATCACCAAGAGGCGGGGTGATGCAGCGGTTCACTCCACAAGTTCAATCCTGCACCGGCTCAAGGTTGATTCAGCCTTCCATCCTTCCGAGGTGGGTAAAAAAGAGGACCCATATTGTTGGGGGCAAGAGGCTGACTCTGTAAACAGATTAGAGGGGGGCTCTAAAGCTTTGTGAAGTGGTATATAAGTCTAAGTGCTATTGGCATTGCTCCCTTCTTCTAAAAAAGCGGAAGGCATTAAATCCTGCAATGATCCATCTCAAATCAAATCAACTTTTATTGTCAACGTGTACAACGAGATTGGCTGAGCCTCCCTTTGTGCACCCCTCCCAAGACAACTCA